AAAAAAAAAAAAAAAAAAAAAAAAAAAAGAAAAGAAAAACGCGTGTAATACGGGATTAAATTCGATCGAATCGAACGATTGTCGCAATAAGTACACGATTAATCTCGGCTGGCCCGGTTTCCTTTCGACGTAAATAGAACATACATCGACCGAGCCATTCGACCGGTCTCTATTAAGAAATTTTCTTTTCATCGCGAGTTTCGAAGTGTTCCAATAGTTTGTTGTAACGTTAAATCATGGTGTATCGAGGATACTTGGAATACCATTTCAACCGGCCATTAAGACAATCTTTTTGGTCACCGATTTCGTTCGTACGTTTGTCAAATCGAGGTTGAATTGATCGTTGAATTATACCTGTCACTTGGATTTAAGTATTCGAGGCAAATTCGAAGAGGAATGAATCGATGCGGAACGTAACAACGATATCATGTATGTTTTCGCGGTTCATATCGATACGTACACGTAATACGTAATAACATATAAATGTCGCGGACGAAACGCGGGGAATAATACATAATAAGTCGGACAAGATCTCGATTCTCGTTTTATCGATTCTCGTTTTATCGATCCTCGTATAGGTACCTCTCGTATCTCTCGATATCAACGTGTAACGAAAACGATATCTTTGTTGTAAGGATATGCAACAGACAACGGTTGTTGTACGATTATTGAAGACTTATCGCTTTCGCGAGGCCGAGTCATCAATCATTAACCGACCGATCGAGAGAAACTCGAAACATTTACGCGTTTCCATCGCATTTACAACCGACACACGTCTGTTGCGATTGTTGGCCCGAGCTGTGTGCATGCAAAGCGATTACGGTAACGTGACAAATTGTTATAAAGCGTATCGACTTACGATGTTGTCAGACTACCTTATAAATCTCGTGGGATAATTTTATAACCGTAAGCTACTTGATATAATCGTGATTAAAGTCGAACGAATAAACTCGAACATCTACGATCAATGTTTATCATGCTACCAGTTGCGGAACTCCTTCCTGTAACTCGAACATTTTTATATATGAAGAGGAATCGAAGAAATTGTGGAAATCAATGCTGAAAACGCGTAATTTAGTCAACGACCGATCTCAACTGGGTAATTTTTCCACGTTCCTTCTCTTCGTTATTCTTTAAATCGAGCTGAGAGGGGAACTTGATTTCCTGAATCGGCCTCGCCAATCGGTCGTGGCGAGTCAAAGCATGAGAAGAAGGTTGATCACGGTGCAAGGGAGGGGGAAAAAACCGCGTAATCATCTGGAACTACAGTCTTAATCCAACACAATCCTCTACAACCGATCGAGAAAGAGAGAAAGGGAGAGAATGCCGCGGTTCTCGATCATCGATACCCTTCGAACCCACCGAACCGAACCTGGAACCTCGAATCGGGCAGCCTGTTTACAGACGATGCTGTTCTCCTTCATGTTCACGCGTGCAGAACGTAAACGAGGAAGTGATAATTTCACGGTGAGAAAAGTGGCCAGATGAGAGAGAGTGAGAGAGAACGATCGAGACCAACCAAGTGCGATTAAACGAAACTGTGGAGGAACGTTTCACGTGTGCTTTCTCACGTGTGCACGCGTTTACGCCCGCGTATATCCGTATATATATATATATGTATACATATGCGAGTATAGTAGGTGTACAAAGGAGAAGCAAAAAGGAGGATGAAGGAAAGGGGCACCGACACCTTGCGTCGAACCTTGCGGGAGAGGAAACGAAATGGCCGACGGAGGAAGGAACACGACGAGTCGGTGTGAGAACCGAGGCTCGTAGTGATTTCCATAGTTATTCGAGATAGCCGGTAGAGAGGAGAAGCTCTCTCGTGGCCGGCCGCACTTTCGACGGGCATCCTATCATTTCGTGCTAAGCCGTGTTCACCCTCGCCGCCGTACGTTTGCTCATAACGGAATGTCGATGCCTGTACCGAATCTCACGATCTCTCTCGGTTGTTGCCGAAGCTTCGAAAAAAATCCGATGAAAATGACGAACTGGATGCGCTGGGATCGACTTTGATGGATGGACACCGATCGCGAGAAGATCGAGGTGGAAAGAGCAACGTACTAGCTTTCCACGTAGTAGCTCTCCTATCGATACGGTTGCCGTAATTTCTCTCCGAAGAGAGAACTATATCTCCCCTCCTCTCTCCCTTTCTCGAACGTGTTCATATATTATATTATTTATGTCGAGTGGAATTATTTTAATGTTAGAGAAAGGGGAGCGAAAGCGACGGTGAAAGTGGCAAGGAGAGCGCTTATTACGCGATTGAACGACATTTTTGTCTTCATTGTCCTCGCGATGATTTCACCTATAATATTTCGTAGTCTCCTCCCGATTTTTCCTAAAAGAAGAAAAAAAAAATCTTGGAAGCCGCCACGACCCTTTCCCACCC